CTTCCTTTGCCTGGTGTCAAGGCTGCAGGCTTGTCTAGTCACAGAAGAGACGGGTCCTGGGACACGATACGTCATCCTGGCTGGTTTTAAAACAAGTTTCTAGCCCTTAAGACTGCAGGCAGAGATCAGAGAGTCTTGGGTGGAGAGAAATCTCACGAGTGGCAAGAGTAAGAAAAAGTTCAAAGCAGGGGAGACCTGACAGGTGTTTTGCTCTCATTCTAGCCTAGGAACCTCACACCTTGCTTTGCCCACAGGAAAAAAAGGGAAAATTTCATTAGGTGAGTAAGCTAGATGGGTCTTCGCCCTTCTCAAGATCCTTGATTCCTAGACACTAGAATGGCCCCTTGGGCTATTTATCAGAATAACAGCATGACAGAGTTGGGAGGGAACTCGAGTGCTGAGCCTTGGGGTACCCAACCTATCATCTTAGCCAAGGATTGGGATTTGGGATCCTGGTGTTTTAAGCATCACCTGCAATCCCTAAGCCACCAGTGGCTCCAAAAAGAAGGTCCAGGTATGACTGAGATACCTGAGAAAGGTCTAAAAAGGTAAAGGTTCCCCTCGCACATATGTGCTAGTCGTTCCCGACTCTAGGGGGCGGTGCTCATCTCCGTTTCAAAGCCGAAGAGCCAGCGCTGTCCGAAGGCGTCTCCGTGGTCATGTAGCCGGCATGACTCAACGCCAAAGGCGCACGGAACGCTCTTACCTTCCCACCAAAGGTGGTACCTATTTTTCTACTTGCATTTTTTACCTGCTTTCGAACTGCTAGGTTGGCAGAAGCTGGGACAAGTCACGGGAGCTCACCCCGTTATGCGGCACTCGGGATTCGAACCGCTGAACTGCCGACCTTTCGATCGACAAGCTCAGCATCTTAGCCACTGAGCCACCCTGTCCCACCCTACTAGAAAGGGTCTAAGGGTGCCCAAACCAGATGTGAAGATCAAAAATGTTCAAATTCTCTATCAGGATGGTCAAGAATGGAGACCAGGATTAGTCTCCAGTTCCAGGTGGGTTTTGCCTCCATGCAACTTGGGCACTTAACACGAAGACTTCACCAAGGGAGCCCAAAGTCGATCCACTACCAGCGTCTCTTTCCTCAGAACAGGGTGGAGATCAGCAGAAAGAAAAGGAAATATCTTTCAGAGAAGAAACACCAAAGATGTGTGACAAACTTTAAGGATCTAAAACAGCTAGATCCTTAAAGCAAAGCTGGATGAGGAACTCTGGAGCTGAAGTCCACAAGTCTTAAAATTGCCAAGGTTGGAGACCCCTGATCTAGAATGAATTCGCTCTCCAAATTCTGTTCAGGCCTTCACGCAACCGTGATCCTTTCAAGTTTTTTTTTTATTTCATCCCTTTTTTCCCACCTACCCTGTGGACTTGGGAGAGCTGGGGAAAGGATCTGGGAGATAAAAAGATTTGAGGCTTGGCTGAAAGTATGAGAAAAGCAGGAAGCTACACAGAGAGCTTAACTTTCTCCCAAGTTCATTGAATGGTTATAACTCTTTTGCTAAGTCACTACTTAGCAAATGTTCAAAGAGAAGACTTCCAATGAAAATAAAGGGGGAAAAACCCCATCGGCTTGGGAATCCTACAATGACAAAGGAAGAAGATAGCCTGAAAGAAAAGAGAAGGAATGAACCAAAAGGGTTAAATGCCACTGATCTAATTGCTGCCAAATCACTAATTTTTGGCGCCAGGCTTAAATAAACAGCTTAGATATAAAACACAGCACAAGCATATTAAATAAATAGCTGTTTAAAAAAAAAAAGATACTCAAGGTATCATACTAAACTGGACAAGGTACCGTAAAAAGAAAACAGCAATTAATTTTTTGTAAATACTTCTTGTAAAGTTGGAAACAAGGGTAGAACGGACAATGGGTGTGAACACATTTGAATGTCTCAGGCTACTATCAGAAACCGAATCTATCAATCAGACCTTCACATTTAAAAGGAGACTAGCCTTGCAGCAAAGATGACGAAAATCATGCAGCATCACTTAAAATGATCAACTACAAGTTGAAATTTAAAGAGTTGCAAATCCTGAATTGGCTTCTCTTGTATGGGTGTACAAACTTTCCAAATCATATTAATTTTTAAAGTACTCTATATCCGTGATGGTGAACCTATGGCACACGTGCCAGAGGTGGCACACATGCCCTCTCTCTGGTGGGCATCACCAGCTGGTTTTCTGGTTTATGGCCAGCTGGTCTTCACGGGCACCTGTGGAAAACGGCCAAAAACTGGCCTGAAAACAGCCCGAAAAATGGCCAAAAACAGCCAAAAAACAGGCATGCGTGCGCCGGCCAGCTTGCTTTCGGGTTTCCGGCGCTCAGGGTGCACGCATATGCACACGCATTCCGGTTTGGGAACTTGGTGCCGAAAAGGTTCGCCATCGCTGCTCTATATTCTAGTCTGAAGAGTGATCACATGCAGACCCAATATCCAGACATAATGTTTTCCTTAACTTTTTTTGAAGGAAATGTATCCTAAAACTGAATTCCCTTCAGTGAAATGGTCCCCAGCCCAGGTCTGTTGAGCAATTTTTAATGTACCCTGTTTCCCCCAAAATAAGACCTCCCCTGATAATAAGCCCAATCGAGCTCTTGAGCACATGGCAATAAGGCCAAGCGCTTATTTCAGGGTTCAAAAAAATATAAATTGAATAAATAAATAAATAAAATAAAATAAGACAGGGTCTTATTTTCGGGAAAACACGGTACCTTCTCTACCAATGAAAGCAACAGAGCAACTTAACCAAGTAGCTCCTACTAATTAAATGAGACTAATTCTACAGCTGTGAAATTAAGATGACAGCAGCCCATAATATTCCTCAGTGGAGAATGCTGTAGAGCAGAGGTCTTCAAACTTGGCAGCTTTAAGACTTGTGGACTCCAACTCCCAGAATTCTCCAGCCAGCATAGCATAGCTGGCTGGAGAATTCTAGGAGTTGAAGTCCACAAGTCTTAAAGCTGCCTAGTTTGAAGACCTCTGCTGTAGAGCTTTGATGGTCGTTTTTATTAATTTTTCAGTTATGAGTGTCTTGAAGAACATCTCCACATTCTTGAAGGTCTTTCCCAACACACCTTCCCAAACCAGCCTAGGTGGGGCTCTCAATCAGCTCTGGTGCTTTGCCAGTTTCATTCCACCAAGGTGACCTCTGTCCCCAATAAACTTACACTAAACTAACTCATCCAGGTGAATAACTACATTTTATATGTATAGGTAGATAAGGAGATTGTATCACATCCGCTTTCTTACGTTTTGCAGGAAAAGCAAACCAGAAGCTCCTCCCTTTTTTCGCCCAGTGCCAACTCACTAGTAAAATGTTGGCAGACACGTCAAAAGGAGTAAGACAAATATATATTTAACGTAATGGGCTGATTGAAAAAGTTAAGGCTTCTCATTTATCTGTTGTATCAGCTGAGTCTGAAAGGCTAAGAAGGAGGGCATTACTCAACTTAAAGAGGAACAGAAAATCTTGATTTTTTAAAAAAAATCAGAGATGGAATGAGAAACTTCAAGGATAACTGGGCAGGCACCTCACCCCTACCTGTTCCTCTTATTTTGAAGACTGCCATTCTTAACCAATTCCAAACTGAGATTTATACAACATCAACATCCACCATAAAGCAAACCACGTTGCGAAGGACGAAATGAACAAGGAAACCGAAGCCTGGCATGTTACTCAGAGGTCAAACAAAGTCAAGACGCAGGCCATCGGACTCCTCTACCCCTTCTGCAAAAACCACACGAGTGAATTCATTCCAGCCTCTTTAAGACGGACTCCTTTCTCTTCACTGATGGAGGAAGCTGAGATGGCAACTGAGCTTCCAAATGTTGGCCTGAGCAGGAGAGCAGACAATCACAAGGGGTGGTGTGAAAACCAGACACTCCAGATTCCCACATCTTTCCCAGGAAGTATCTCTCTGACTTTTGGAAAGGACAACCAGGATAAATCGCCTGCTGTTTTCTCCTTCTTCTCCAGCTATTAATCCAGAGCAGCTTCTTACCAGCTGTTCCTTCATCCTTACATAGAAAATATAACTTCACCAAAACAGCCAACGTCATTGGGGACTGTGCCAAAGCACAGATTTCTGCTGAAGGCCTACACCACCTGGCCCCCGACCATGGGAACTCAATTCCAGATAGTTTTACTCAACTATCAACTCCGTTGTCGAAGAGGCCTCTCCTGGGAACGCTCGATTAAGAAGAGCAAGAGTAGATGGGGAGCGTACTACAAAAACCCATCAAAGACAAGCTCTTTTGCCAATCCAAGGGCCCTTCACCAGGAACCCAATGGCATTTTTTTTCTTCTCCTTGGTAAACCACTCCGAGACACCTTCCTTCAACAGACTTGGATATGAATAAATGAGTCATCCGCTCCATTTGGCATCTCTGGTTTATTTTAAGCACATCATCTGCAGATGTTTCGTTCCTCACCTGAAGGAAACTTCTACAAACTCCAGACCAAAAATGGAAGCGAGCAAGCAGAGGAAAGTTCTGAGCTCAAACGGCAGAGAACAATAATATCATCCTCATGATTAACACACCAAAGCAAAATATGGTTTATGAGATCAGGAAGATACCAACAAAGGAGAACATTTGTAGCTCAGGGTTGAAATGAGAGGTCCTTGGTGGTCTCTGAGCTTGGTTGGTTTTCTTGCAGATGTTTCATGACTAGCATGATTGATATTACCTAGTGAAACATCTGCAAAAAAACCAACCAAGCTCAGAGACCACCAAGGACCCCCTCAGATCAGGAAGGGTGTGAATGGACAACCCAGGAGGAGACCCTAAGAGGGTGTTGTTGGCTGGGGAACATTTCTGGGGGGGTCGAAGTCCACACATCTTAAAGCTGCCAAGTTCAAAGAACTCTGCTCAAACTCTGACCAACTACCCGTTGTGACCATGGAAGCGCTCGCCTCAACACAAGCCCGCCGTGAGCATTAAGTGAGAAGAAGTTGCCTGATTTCAAAATCAAAAAAGTGGACTCACCATCTCGTCCAAGGCATAGCGGAGGAGACCATGTTCGTAAAGGATGAAGAAGCGGCGCTGCCATTTCTTTAAAAAGGGGACAAGAAAAGAAGTCATGGGGTTAAAACCCTGGAGAACCGAAGGCTCCAACAAGCCAGTTTTCAAATGGGGTCTCCCCGATCTGTTTTTTTTTTCCCCCCTCCAGAATTGGTGGAATTCGACGTCCCTCCAGATTTGGGGTGAAGAAGCTGTTCCGTTTTCCTCCACGTTAACTTTTATTCCTCCCATTTCTGCACCCCAGAGGAATAATCCCTGCAACGTTAAGACACGAAGGGACCCCCCCCCCAAATGTTTGTTGTGAGGCCCCGTCTGTTCAAAAGTTGCTGCCGTTTTTAATGCAACGGAAAAAAGGAGATTACAGAGTGTCATGTGAAGAGTATCGAACAGATGAATTGTAAATGTCAAAGGAAAGGGAGAGGTAGATTAAAATAAGGGGATTTTTTTTTTCCTGCTACAACCAATTTCGGGGTACAGGTCCCGAACTCCCCCCCAACGCAAGGACTCCGAGGAGTTTGCATACCCTGCTTTACAGAGACCCCAGATTCTGGAAAGAGGGCCCAGAGGAAAGAAAGGATCACGTGCCGAGATCGAATCCCCACAATTATTTGATCACCGCGAAAACCAGATCCCCTCCCTCGGTCCATCTGGATAGCGAGATGGATGGCATATACATTTAATAATAAACAAATCAAAATTAAAAATCTGAACTCACTGCCCTTCCTGGCCCAGCAAGGAGGAAGGAGCAGTCCTTACCCGGGAGCGATGCACAGGGTTGTCGAAATCCGTGCCCTCTGGAGCTAGTAAAAGCCATCCACCATAAATAGGCTTGGCCTGAGAACAGAAGGAGGAAAAGGTAATTTTGATTTGTTTTTAAAGGGCACAATTTCCAAACCATTTACTCCGTGATGCAGTTAATAGCACTGGAAGGGACAGTTCAGAAATCTCGTCTCATTTCAACATGCACAGTTGGAACCGACAAGATGGTCATTAAACGAAGCAGTCGCTCAGCAGAATTAGAACAACGCTAACAACTTGACTTAAGCATTTCTTTGCTTTAAAGGCCTGCGAAGGGCGTAAATGCGAGGATGGATTACAATGTGATGTTTTCATCAGTGTCATAGCTGTGAACGGTTGCTAAATAGCTGCACACACGCGCGCACACACACACACACCCCTCTCCCTGGGGACTGTGTGTGATATTGTGCCTCTTTCAGTTAAGTCAATGTTTCTCAACCTTGGAAGCTTGAAGATGGGTGGACTTCAACTTCCAGAATCCCCCAGCCAGCAGCGCTTCCAAGATTGAGAAACACTGAGATAAGTGGTTCTCCTGAAGAGGACTGATTTATGAATGAAACTTCGGAAGACAACAACAGCAAACAGTGAAACTGAAGCCACAACAGACACACAAGCGAAGTGCAGTACTGCATCTTTGCAATGTGCCCCTTCGGAGACGCGTGGCTGCATTAAAAAGCGACTTATAGAGCACCAGGGTTTTTTTAAAAAACATTTTTATTTTATTTCATACATCCACAGAAAAGCAGAGAAAACAACAACAAACAGAGCAATTTGTCAAAGTCACTTGTTTGAGCTGGGCAGCTACAAAACCCAAACAAATAAATAAAAACTGGCTTCTTTCCTTGAACACGAGGGGTATCGAGGTCTAAATTTGTTCCCCTCTTCCAAAAACGGAACTCATCGGGAAGGAAATTTTATTTTTGAAGCTCCTAATGTTCCCTCCCGCCTGCTAAGTTTACAGGTCTAAAATAAACCTGCAAATACCTTGGAGCAGAAATAGCCTTTTGCTGGTATATTCCTAGCTCTGGATTCGTAATCAAAACCAAAACAAAAAATTACGAAGGTGGGCTGTTTGGGTTGTTGTTGTTGCCATTTTACAAAACAAAACAAAACAAAACTCTGAAAACCTGAAGCCAAAACAGGGCTTGTTTATTTGAAGAAGGAGCCAGCCAAATAAAAACCAGTTCCTGTATTTAAAAACAAAAATATCCTGAGCCAATTCAAGGAATCCTCCCCTAAGCCTGTTCTGCAAGTCCAAGGATGTTGCAAGATGCTACACACAGACCTACAACTATCTCCAGATAAAGAAGAGTGGGGGGGGGGGAATCTGTCAACGCTCCACCCTGCTTGAAAGGAAGAAATCGCAGGTTTGCGTTGTTTTAAAACACACAATCCGGAACTCACAATTGGTTATCGACAGCGTTTCTGGCTTCCCTGCGCAGACATGCATTCCTTTCTCCTTATAACCTGTTTATCCTGGTTTGTTCGCTCTTCTTGGGCCCAGCCGATGCGACACACCCACCCCAATATTCTCTGCAAATTTATGCTTGCTTAATTTAAGTAAGTGGGCAAAATGAACAGGCCTACTTTGACGAGAAAAGGCTGTTGGGAGTGGAGTCGAAAGGATTCCCATGGTTGAACAAACACAAACTTGACCTGGATATTTCAGTCCCATTTTCCTTCTCACAGACTTTCCTTTAGATACTGGATGAAGTAGCAGCATTTTTTTGGCCCTATCAGAAAAGCAAACTACTAGACCTCATGAATATCTAAGCGAGTGCCGAAATGTCTGCTTGCTTTGCTGTTCCTCTCACTTCCAAAGTTTCTAGTCCTCTTCACGTGATGCCCTTTAAATTTATTTTACAATGCAGCAGTCTGGTCCTGCTTAATTATACAAAACAGCCGAGCCTTAACAACAGGGTGGATAGATTTTAACTTCGGGATGCTAGACCTCATGAATAATGAAAGTACATTTGGAAAAGTATGCAGTTGAGTAGGTGGTGACCGGATTTTTTTTTTTTTTTTTAAGAGATGGGTAATCTTGTAAGGCAGAAAAAGAATGCAAAGATTTTCAAGGGGCCCAGAAAAAATGCCACTCCTCATAATTCACTGCCCCACCCTGGAGCCCACAGGAGGGAAACAGAAGTCTGAAAATCTGCAAGGATTTGGGGGGGGGGCGGTTGGCTTAAATTTGCTAGTGTGCTAGAATCTCAAGATGACACCGAGAAGGCAGGAATTATTCCTAATTTAATAATAATAATAAATAATAATAATTAGGGTGGCAGAGGAATGAGGGCAAACTCACTTAGTGGCCATTGCAGATCTTGGCTTCTGCCCACAAACCCTGATCCTTTTGGGATAAAGACGATAATGACAGCATTCAGAAACCCTCAATGCCAATTCAGACAAGCTTGGGGGAAATTTGCCATTCAAAAACAAAACAAAACATACAGGTATGAGCTTATTATATACAAGGAAAGAAGCAAAGTTGCAAACCCCTTCAGGAAGTGCTTGCTCTAAAAAGAACTGCCTTCCTTGAAATCAATCCATAACATTTGAGGATCCTTTCTGGCTCCCTCGAAGCGCTGCTGGGATCCCCAAGCCCTCCTCACCCCCTTCCAACCAGGTGCTCCAGTTTACGGTTCCACACACACTCACACACACCCCTTTCCGAATCTGAGCAAACCTGGATCTCGAAGCCGGCTTCCTCCAGCGCCTTCCAGGTGTTCCTGATCCGTCCGAACTTCCCTCGGCTCATGGTCGTCTCTGCTCCCCACTCCCCGGGGCCCGTCTCCTTTCTGCTCGGCGGAGGTGCCGCCTTCCTTCCGTCAGGGCAACTGGGTCCCCACCCACACCTCTGCGCGCAGCCCTACCTGCCCCACACCCTCGGTGGCTCACGGCTGCCGCGCCCTTTCTGAGCACAGCAGCAGCGTGAGGCTGCCGAGTCTCCTCTCCCCAGGGCTGAGAAAGGGGGATAACAGAGTTGGAAGGGACCTTGGAGGTCTTCTAGTCCAACCCCCTGCTCAAGCCCCATTTCAGACAGGTGGCTGTCCAGTCTCTTCTTAAAAGCCTCCAGGGATGGAGCATCCACAACTTCTGGTGGCAATCTGTTCCACTGGTTAATTGTCCTCACTGTTAGGAAATTCCTTAGTTCTGGGTTGCTTCTCTCCTTGATAGGTTTCCATTCGTTGCTTCTTGTCCTGCCCTCAGGTGCTTTGGAGAATAGCTTGACCCCCCTCAAATACTGGAAGACTGCTATCATGTCTTTCCTAGTCCTTTGGTACAAGGGGATTAAACCAGGTTTTAATGTTTATAGTGCCCTCCATCAACAGAGATAAAGTTACGTTCTTCCTACATGGAGCTAGCTTCCTTCCTTCCTTCCTTCCTTCCTTCCTTCCTTCCTTCCTTCCTTCCTTCCTTTCTCATCACCTTAAACTGATGCATTGAGAGCAGAGAAGCAGAGAAACATTAGCAATCAATGAACAAATTCATCCTCAGAGACTTAGTGCTGTGATATATGAATGGTTATCAACAACTTTTTCCAAAACCCGGAAATCTTATATGGATTTTCTGATGAAAGAAGCAAAAAAAATGAGGTGATGATTTACAAGTTTGAGGATTAAATGGTTATTCGGGTCTTCTCCCACGTAAAATTGGAAGTGTCTTGGCGACGTTTCGACGAAGTCTCATTCGTCATCTTCAGGCTGGTATTCTCGGCTTCGTGCTTCCAGGACCTACATTCCAAAGACCTACATACAAACACCCGCGAAAACCTGAGAAATTGTAATTATCTGTTGAAGAGAAGTTCGGAAGTCATTACAGTTAAGTTTTTTTCTCGACTATTTTCGTTTCCTTGCAACTTCTTTTCTTTTTTCCTGCTTTAGATTTTGTCTCTTGCTTTATGTAAAATTCTCAGTAAACACAAACAAACAAACACCTCATTAAAACACCTTTCGTACATCAACAGGAAGGAAATCCTCCACTCTCAAGAGGAGTCTACCACCAAATTGTATATGGAGGGACAAGAATCACCTCCCCAATTATACGCCGGCTAGGAAAAATTGACATTTGAGTGCACAAGGCCGGTATGCAGGCTATTGCACAACCGAATTAATAAACAAACCTTCCTTGAAAAGGTAGCACAAGTCAGAATAAACTATGCAGTAATAATAATAAATCTAGGGTCTGACTCAGGATATTAAAACTGCACATTTCGAAAGCTCATGCCGTCATAAATTTATTTTGCAGAAGTTCAGGCTGACTTTTTTTTTTTTCTCCAATTCCCATCTATTTACATTCACGTCCTGGTCTCTTCTGGCCACTTGGAATAAGTTCTCGCTCATTCCAGGCGAGGGGCTGTTTGCAAGGCAGGCCTCTCCGACAATATGTGAGGAGGGGGGATTAGGACAGCTCCCCCCAACTCCAGGAACCCTGCCATTGGTATTGCAGTCGGTCCAAAATGTCAACACTTATTTATAAACAGCTTGCCATGAAATACAAGACTTTGGTACACCCTGATCCCGTCCTTCTGAGGATCCCGCCACGGCTGATCCTACTTAAATCCCGTCTCGCTGCTTTCCTAAAACTCTCAGCAACTGCAGATTTATTTTTTTTTTAATTTAAAGGAAAAAAGGAAGGGGGAAAAAAACAAAACCTTCCTGGTGTACTGCTAATCAAAGTGTCAAAGGCTTTAAGAAACAAGGGGAGCCTGGGAAAATGTTTCAAAGCTTAGAGGAGAAGAATTCCCCCGGAGGCTGACCCGTCCCAACACGCTCGCCAGATTCCCATCAGTCAAAGGGAAAAATGCTCGGTCGGGGCCAGAGAAGGAGTTGAAGAAGCCTGTGGGGGTGGGGGGGGATGGCTTTGGGGGCGGCACAAAAACAGATTTGGGTCTGCCTGACTTTTCTTGTTGAGGGAGGGAGGGAGGAAGGGATAGAAAGAGAGGAAGAGACTAGGTAGAAAAAAGGGAAGGAGGGAGGAAAGATGGAAGGAAGGAAGGAAAGAAGGAAGGAAGGAAGGAAGGAAGGAAGGAAGGA